AGAGAGAGAGAGAGAGAGAGAGAGAGAGAGAGAGAGAGAGAGAGAGAGAGAGAGAGAGAGAGAGAAACTGAAATGTATGTAATGTAATTAATCTTGTGATATTAGCTACATAACAACATAAAGTTCATGAATGTTACCATGCATACTATATATTTCATGTAACTGAGTGTGCATTTTAATTGAAACTTCATACTTAGTATATTTGAAAATGTTCATCTAAGTAAGGTAAACATGATTTTTGACAACATAAACATGAATAATGGTACCATAATTGAGGTAAAAGTAAAATTTCCACATTAGTTTGTTAAATATTTTTTTATATATAAAAATATGTTTTTGTATTTTAAATAGTTAAGTCATTTAAACAATATTTCCAAAACGTTTTTATATCTTTATAAATGTCATTATAAACATTTTCAATAAACTGAAATGTAATTAATGTGATTAGTTTTGTGATGTTAATTACATAACAACATAAAGTTCAGGGATGTTACCATGCATACAATATATTTTGTGTAGCTGAGTGTGCATTTTTTAATGAAACTTCATATTTAGTATATTTGAAAATGTTCATCTAAGTAAGCTAAACAAGATTTTTTTTTAACAACGGTAAACATGATATTAGTACCAAAATTGAGATAAAAGTAAAATTTCTCCATTAGTTTTTTAAATAAAAAAATTTATATATAAAAATATGTTTTGGGATTTTAAATAGCTAATTCATTTAAAAAATATTTTTCAAAACGTTTTTATATCTTTATAAATGTCATTATAAACATTTTCAATAAACTGAAATGTACCTAATGTAATTAACCTTGCAATGTTAGCTACATAACGACATAAAGTTCATGGATGTCACCATGCATACTATATATTTCCTATAGTTGAGTGTGCATCTTTTATGAAACTTTATACTTAGTATATTTGAAAATGTTCATCTAAGTAAGGTAAACATGATTTTTTTTTACAACGGTAAACATGAATAATTGTACCAAAATTGAGGTAAAAATAAATTTTTCCCATTAGTTTGTTAAATAATTTTATATATATATAAATATGTTTTTGGATTTTAAATAGTTAAATCATTTAAACAATATTTTTAGAAACGTTTTTATATCTTTATAAATACCATTGTAAACCTTTTCAATAAACTAAAATGTAAATTAATGTAATGAGTCTTGTGATGTTGGTTACATAACAGAAAAATTCATGGATGTTATCATACGTACTATATACTTAGTGTAAATGTTCCTTTATAAAAGTAGTTGAGAAATTTTCAGTTCATTTATTATTTGAAACGGGAATACCACATAATGCGCCCGAGGCGTTACTACCGCACAAATTATTTGAAAGCGGAAAAGTCAAAACATAATTATAATAAGCGTCAAACCATAGTTTCATTATTTAAAAAACCTAGAAACCCAAACTTCACCAAAGAAATACTTTATCCATGACCAGGATTCTGATCAAGAACGGCAGCAACAGCTTCCTTAGACTCCTTCAAAAGCTTAATACTATTCTTAAGCCTCTGCCTCTTACTCGCCTAGTACTGTCAAATGGTCTGTCCAAAGCCCATTTGGGCAGGACCAGTTGGACCATTTATATTTTGGTTATTAATGGGCGGTCGATATTGGGCTATGGTCCACAAAAACGCCCAAACCCTATAAAGACCATGTCCAATGGACAAGCCCATGGACACCCAATACATTTATAGTTATTTTTAGTTATTAATTTTGTTTTTTC